CGGGATTTTCTTTTGAAATCGAGCTACCATATTCTTTGCCAAAAGTAAAAAATTGATTGATTACTTAAAAAAAAATATATATATAATTATTTAAAAGAAATTAAAGCTTTCAGCGATAATGAATATAGCCCGGAAGGTAAGTGAAATATTACATTGGATTCACATAAAAAATGTATTTACTCTTGTTAATTATTGTATTTTACAACGCTTTTATCAACTTGCAATGTTGTGTGTCCAGAAACTTTCAATATTGTGGATCCAGAAACTTTCAATGTTGTGTGTCCGACACCATAAAACCTTTGCTTTGAAAAGTTCCTATAAAAAAGCATAGTGCATAGGGCGACATCTGTAGTGAATAGGGCGAGGTAGATGACATCTAGATGTCGCCCTATGTACTACGTTTGCTACAGCGGATATAGACGACACGCCATTTCTTTAAATAAAATTAATTGGGGCTCGTTTGTATGTACATTCATATGTAAATGCATGTGTGTGCACCTTTCTATTAATATCGTTGAATTATTTTAATATCTATTGCAAAATTTTATTCAGACAGGACTAAAAATCAGGGTACGAAAATAAACTATATTGTACGTTACTATTTCGTTTCGTTTATTACTTCAACAGTTCGGTACAATACGAAAACAAAACCGCTGAGTTCACTTTGGCGATAGTACACTACAGTAGTTTAGTAGTTACAGACAAAACAACAAACGAAATGATTCGTGCAGAGAAAAATATATGTATGTATGTACACATATCCAATAACTAAACAAACAAAACAAATAGCTGCAATGAATAAAAAAATAAAAATGTTTTTTAATTGAATTGGATATGAAAATTTACAGAAAAAAATATTTTTCACGTAATTGAAACGTTTGTGATATCACCCTATGGCACAATTGTCACAAACGAAAAGCAAACGTTTCTAGTTGGGGAAAATGACAGTGAATCTTACAAATTGTTTCTGACTATGTACAAAACTGTACAAAACTACAGATGATATGATGATCGATAAGCAAATGGGAATTGTTTTGTACAGTTTATTTTCGTACTCTGCTAAAAAGTAGAAAATAAATAATATAAAAAAACTTTTTAATATACAACGCTTTTATAAATGAACTAAAAAGTAGAAAATAATATTTCTCAGTCCCATAGAATTTGTTTTGATAAATTTTGATTTTGAAATTTTAGCAAAAGTCATTATAAACAATCTATGAAATTGAAAATGAAAAGCGTGGGGCGCATGTAATCCACTTGAATTGATATGAAAAGTAAAATATGTATGTATGTATGTGGGTATATGAATAACGACCGCTTAAAATCGATTTCAAAGTTCTACTTTCGCTGCAGAAATTTTAGGTCTACGTTATGAAGTTTGACTATTGTCAATTAAATCGAATGCTTTGTATTGCATGCGCTCCACGTTTTTCATTTTCAATTTCATAGATTGTTTATAATGACTTTTGCTAAAATTTCAAAATCAAAAGTTATCAAAACAAATTCTATGGGACTGAGAAATATTATTTTCTACTTTTTAGTCCATTTATAAAAGCGTTGTATATTAAAACGTTTTTTTTTTTATATTATTTATTTTTTAGTCAGATGAGCTGCATATATAGAAAAAATATTTTAAACATTTGGATTGTAATGTTAACCTTATGGGGAAACCAAAATTAGTTCGTCTGTAATTGAGTCTCCCGGGCTTCTGCAAAATTTGCTTGAGCGCAGTAAAAACGTTACAAATTTAGATGTAAAAATTCTTTAAAGATATTTTTTTGGGCAGGACGTACTTCAGGATACGATTTTTGAATAACAAATTAAAATCAGAAAAAGCCTATTGTGTATCGAAAAAAATTTAAAAAACTATAACATAATTACATACACTTTAACTGAATTGTTTTTATTTGAAGCTGGCATAAAACGCAAGTATGCACGTACGTATGTACATACATATCTTAATATATAAAAATTCCGTGTCACTGTGTTCGTTTACGCTAATCTCCAAAATCGCTTAACCGATTTCTATGAAATTTTTTGGGTGTGTATTGTTGTTTCCAACTTAAAAGATAGAATAGTTGTGAACCCAAGAAACAATATTTTTTTTCATCGTAATTTTTTCTATGCATCTCGCATCGTGCTTATCTAATATATAAAAGTCTCGTGTCTCGGTGTTAGTGGTAGAACTCCTCCTAAACGGCTCGACCGATCTTTATGAAATTTCTTGCGTGGCACCTCCCATACATATCTCTGGATATGTTCATGGAAGAATACTGGAACTTGGTATGTACAAGATATATAAAATCAGTCGCGTGGTCACGAAGAAAAA